ATAATTTATTCAGACCAGAAGTCGCATTTTTGTTTTTCCATTTCTTTTCTTAAAAGAATAAATGTGCTGCGGTGGTTCTGTTGTCTTTGGGTTCTGATTAAAAACAGATATTTTCTGTGAAAACAGCTGAAATCAGCAAAAACGTAACCTCTGAAGAACCAAAGTTAAAGTTGGAACAGATGTTTAAAACCCTAAAGACCTTAAACTTAATGTTTGTGACCAACGGAGGGATCTCTGCCCCAGCTTTGAGAACCCTGACGGTGGATTCTTTCACACATTTTTAGTTTGAGATTCCTGTTTCTGCTGCGATGCCTGACTGGAAGGAAGAAAACAACACTAGGTTCTGCTGGAGCCTGTGAGTTCAGAACATGTGACACTTCTCCAGAACCACCAGAAGAACATGTAGTCCATGCACATACAATAAACTATACGACAAGCAGTGGTCACTCCAATATGGCTGAAAAGAGTTACCATTATCGACTAGTTTGACCAGCTGGTTATGTTGGTAAATAACAGGGTCAAGGTTCTTTACTGTCATTTGCACTGCATGTGGCACATGTGGTGGAACAAAACTGTGTACACAGGGTCCCAGTTACATCCAACAAATGTATAAAATGTAAAAGAAAAACAGTCATAAGAACTAAGATATGAACTAAGAATATGCTAAACACTTAATGACAATACCTTGAACAACAGCAGCACGAACATGAGTCTGTGTGAGCAGATGAGTACGAATGAACACATCAACATGAATAAATCAGCAGCATGGATAATCAGCAGCACACAACACGTGGCATTACAGTGATTTTTTTTTTCACAGTGATTCTCCTGGTTAGAGATTCATGAGTCTAACAGCCTCAGGGTAGAAGCTGTTCCTCAGCCTGGTGGTTCTACACTTAATGCTCCTCAGCCTCCTTCCTGAGGGGAGTGGGGCAAAAAGTGTCTCTGCTGGGTGAGTGTGGTCCTTCATGATGCAGGTGGCCCTCTTCCTGCATCTGGAGGTGTAGATGTCTGTGGTGGTGGGGAGACTGACTCCAACATCTTCTGTGCAGCCTTCACCACTC